TTGTTCACGAAAGTTTGAATCTGAAACAAAGAATGTTTTCAACCCAAAATCATCTAAATTATTATTTTTAATGTCATTTTTTAGTTGTTTTATATATGTTGTTTCTCTTTTGGATGGCTGAAGGATTGTTGGTAGATTTAAAATGGTATGACGATAACTTCTTGCAAAAGAATATGCGAAATTTTCTCCTAATCGACAGACTGATAAAGGTAACTTAAGCCATTGAAATATCCATTTTTGAAAATGGATTATTGCTTTTTTCATATCTTTTTCTAACGAATCAAATATGTCACCAAATTCTAATTCGTTTAATAATTTGAGTGCTTCAAGCAATTCTTCAGAAAAAAACACATCAAAATTATTTGTAGCCTCTGTTAAAAAATCCATCCATTCTAAAATTTTGTTAGACATTTCGTAAGCTCGCCAACTAGAAGGTAAATTTATCCAGTTTTCGCCATTGAAAATTTGAGGCACAGGATCTGAGCAGTAAGAAACGTCATTAAGGGAATGAAGAAGTGTTGACCGAATTTTGTTAGATATTTTAATTGAATATTGAGCTTTTTGTCATTAAGCCAGGTATGGAAGAGACGCCAATCATTCAAATAAAATAGTGTCGTATTAGAATGATTTTCTAATACTTTAATAAACCATTCCACAAATTGAAAATGTGACTCCCTTCTTTCTAAATATTGTTTAGCAGTATGCAATTCATATCCCCAATGGGTTTGTAATGGCATTTGATATTTGAAATAACAATGTCCAAGAAAAGATTTATATAGGTCCTGAATATATTCACTTTTTATATTCATTGGTGCATTACTGTTTTTATTCCCATAGCCATCATGAAGGTACCAAGTGAGGTATAGAAGATTAAAAGGATGCAGCTTTCTTGAAAATCCTAATACATGTTCAAAAGCTTCATTTTCAAAATTTGTAAAACGATGTTAATTATATGTAATGTATATCCAATTCGAACTGAATTAGAGTTTGCCAAGCTGTTAAATTTAATGATGGCCCCATTTGCATTTCCAGATATGTACGCAGTGTTGTCAGTAAGCCATGTCATATATTTTCGTGTATCAAGTTGATATTGTTGGCAAGTATCAAAAACTGAAGTTGCAATCGTATTCGCATTGCATTTTTTTATAATTTTTAAATTAACCATACTTGCTGTTAGATAATTTTGATCTTTATCCCAATACATGAAACAAATTACTAAATTTTTGTCTTGCCTACGAGTTGACTTGTCTGCAGTAATACCGAATGCACTTGTTTGTTGAACACATTTAGCTACGTTGGAAACTGCTAATTCTGAAATTTGCTTATACCAAGTTGTAATTCGTTTCATTGAAAGCCAACTTGTTAGTGATTCACCCGTTAGGAACTTATATATTAATTTTGTGCATTCTATAGTCGCACACATTGAAACCTGACCGACTTGTGTTAATTTAGTTGTGAGCCAAATTATATCTGGTGAGTAGTGTCAATCATTAGATTTAAAAAGAGCCTTAATTTGTTTTTTAAATTCTACTGAAGATATTGTTTTAGATTTACGGACTAAGGAATGTATTTCGGATATTTGACGGGATGCTTTTTGTTGACTGTGAAAATTTTGAGATCCAAGCGATTTAGTTTTTGTAATAAGGGTTTGAATTTTATTATTTAATTTTTTATTTTGATGCCGCAGATGATCACACTCTTCTTTTAAGGCAGAATAGCTTTGATAAAAGGGATTAGAAAGTACTTCAACCAATTGCTGCTGCAAATATTGAGATATAATTTTTCCTTTATTTTTGCCTCGTGGATATCTTACTGTATGTTTTTTAGCATCTTTCTTTTCATTGTCATCTAAGCCGTCAATAAGTTCAATAAGCTGTTCATTAGATTGTGGAGTTTCTAACACTTCTTCTTTATCTAAGCCATTAATAGGTTCAATAAGCTGTTTATTAGAATTTGGAGTTTCTAATATATTTTCTTTTTTAATACTGCATATAAACTCTAGGACGTTATTAAAATCTTCATCAAGACATTGAAAAGTATCCACGAATTTCTTAAGTCTTTTGGTTTTCTCATGATTAGCAGTTAGTTGTATCATTTGAATATGTTTTTTTGAAAATTTTGGCATAGTAATTAAATATAGCAAATATTTTCAGCTTGAATTCGTTTAAGTATATGGTTTTGTTAACATGTAATTTTTTGGGTAGATAGCAAATACATATATGGTTCTTTTAATGCGTAATTTTTTGGGTGGATAGCAAATATTTAAATGTTATTTTTATAATAAATAAAATTTTAAAGACAATGATATTTAACAATTGCGAGCTAAAATAAATTATAAGAATATTATTGCGTATTTAAATTTACAGATACAAAGTCGCGCAAATTTAACAATTATATAAAGATTATGTAATTTGAACAATCAAAAGTTGTATGAATATATAAAGATTATTTGAACTAAACAATTAAAGATTGCGCAAATTAGACAATTGAACATTAGATCACGTGAATTGGACAATTGGACATAAGATTGCGTGAATTGGACAATTGGACATAAGATCATGCAAATTGAACAATTGAACATAAGATCGCGCGAATTGAACATTGGGCATGTATGAATTAGACAATTATAGGATGAAGCAAAATTGGACAATTGAACATTAGATCGCGCGAATTGGACAATTGAACATAAGATCGCACGAATTGGACAATTAGACATAAGATCGCGCAAATTGAACAATAAAGAATGTATGAATTAGACAATTATAGGATGAAGCAAAATTGAACAATTGGATTATACTAATTAGGTAATTGAATATAAAACTGTGCAAATTAGGAATAATATCGAGGCAGTTTTTGTCTTGAGTCCATACATGGTTATAGTCAAATGGATAATTGATTAGCAACATAATTTGAAATGAGATAGTAAATCGAATTAGTAATGAGTTAAATTAAATTAATTGAGTGGTAATGGTTCAAAGAAATAGCTACTTTTTTTGCGATTTGGTCTGAATTTGTCAACCTTACCTGCCCCACTGAACTTAAAGTTTTAGCTAACTGATTAGTTTAACAATTATCAAAGGATCAAGAGTATCACTATGTCAACTATTAAACATGCTTATTATCTGACACGATTTGAATATAGTTTTCTTTAATTTAGATATATCACGTGATAAGCACATAGGTCAAAACATCCACCATCATTCTTCAACAATAATAATATTGTATAGTGAAATACCTACTATTAATATCACTTAAGAGTATAGTCTAAAAAAAACAACAAAATTCAATTAGAAGGTCTCAAGACCATATAATGTCATATTTTGATTCACATCGTATATATGCAATTCTGCTTGTAATTTAGCTAACTAGTTTTTAATCTTTTAATTGATTAGATAAAATAAGTACATTAATCAATGTGTTATAACTAGTACTTTGAACTCTCGTGTCAAAATTTTAATATTTAAGATATAATGCAAGCTATTTACAAATTTATTCTTTTAAGTTATATAAATAGCTATGAAATATTAGAAAAAAAAAATTAAATTTTAAGTACCCAAAAAAACCCTCACGACAGATTAAAAAGCATGCTTTTTTAACCTATTTTATATTATTTTTAAGTTCGAATAATTAATACTGCGAGAGGAGTTTGATTTTAAAGATTTATCACTTTCGTATAGTAAATTCCTATTAAAAAATGATATTTGTTTGTGTAACAATCTGATCATATTAAAAAACTGTACTAATTGGTTTAATTAGGGGTCTTTACCAATCTTTGTTACAATTAGTTGATCAAACACCCCAGCGCGAGCCTGCTTATTTTTATACTTCATGTTCGTTAGGTCTAAGAACCTGCCAGAAGGAAAACTCTATTAATAATTAAGTTACCCAAATCCAACGCCAGTTTTTATCTCCATAAAGCAACTCCGCTCGGTTATAAGTTCCAAATACTGAATGTATTTTATTATTTTTTTTAGGTAAAATTAAACCCTCTTAGATTTGACGATCGCTTAAGGTGGATTTAGATCTGACGATCAGAGATCTCAAGTTCATACAATATATAAAACTACTGATTAAGAACATTATACATATTACCCTTATAACCTTTTTAAGTTCCATTTGTGCTTTTTCTTATCGTAGAATCGTATATAATAGGAAAAGCCTTTCCAGAAATTCATAATATTCGTTATAAATCAAA